CCAGAGCCAACCCCGGCCTCCTGTGATGTGCTTATTTAAATTTGATTTCTAATTTCTGAATGATGTCATGCAGCTGGGACAGGGACAGCCAAGGGCTGGATGAGGTCTGGGGGCTGTAAAACCTGCAGGTGTAATCTAGGATATACATGCTGTTGTAGTAAATAGGGTGAAGGGTTGAGTTAGCTGATCTCCAGGATGCATTCCAATCTATAATTCTGTAAGTGAACATCAAATTTTTTTCCCCTCCATATCCATCCATATTACCTGTACTGTTACTCTAGTCCAGAAAAAAAACTGTTGGATCAACAGTGCAATGAAATGTTGCACAGGAGATCATCATTTTTATAAGACATTTCTTTTGGGTGGAGAAATGACATCATACATACTCTGTACTTGATATGATTGTCTCAGAAGTTTTGTTTATCCATCACCTGTGGAGAATTAGGAGGATTATGCGTCTTAATCTAGCACTTTTGGTCTTCCTTTTTCTATTTGCTAAGAGAATGGAGCCTTCTTGAATTAAGATAATAAAATTGTGGGAAGCCAGATCATTTTTACACTTGAGCTTTTAGGGCTTAGGGCTGGATTTTGCTAAACCCTGAATATTAAATGATTGTGGGCTGTTTCAGATTTCCAGCTCATTGTGGCAAATAAAATAAAATAAATCTCTGTAAAATGAAGCAGATTGAACCAGGAAGGTTTTACAAGTTATGTGGTGCTTGGGAATGTTGGAGAAAGGAAAATAAAATCTGTGTTGTCTTTCCACCAAATTTATATGGTAAAGGGCAGTGGTGGCGAACCTATGGCACAGGTGCCAGAGGTGGCACTCGGAGCCCTCTCTGGGCCCACATGCCATTGCCCCAGCCTTACCTCCCCCATGACCCCTCCTCACCAGCAGCCCCCCTGGAGTCGCCCCCGAGCATGGCCCACGCAGAGCAGTGCAGCCAAGGACATGGCAGCCGGACAGCGTAGGCAAGACTTTGCCTCATGCCCCATCATGCACAGTTGATGCTGCAGGGCACGGGCAGAGGGCGTGGCTGCCATGGTGCTGCTGGGCAATCTGCAGCGGACCTTGGAGGCAGGGAGTGGCCCTGCGGCCAGGAGGGGTGGGGCAGAGTGGGGGCGGGGCAGGGGGTGGAGCAGGGGCGGGGCCAGTTTTGGGGCACTCAGTCTCTAAAAGGCTCACCATCACTGGTGTAGTCTAAATTGACTGATGAGTTTTATTTTTTATTTTAGTTTATTATTTATCTGACTACCTGGAACATCAGTGTTCCGTGTAACTGAGTGAAATACAGATTTTTGTTTAGAACTGATAACAGTGCATCATTTCCAAGAAAGTCTGACCTCTTACTTCATCAAATCGTACTAGACATCTTAAAGTTTGGAAGTCCAAGCAAGTCTACCTTCTTCTGAGACTTTAAGGGGATTGTAGAATCACTTAATATTCAGGGTTTAGCAAAATCCATCCCTAAGCCCTAAAAACGCGAGTGTAAAAACTATCTGGCTTCCCACAATTTTCAATTATCATTTCTAAATATTATTCTCATTTATCTTTAACCCCCTTCATGCTTTATGACATGAATTTTACTCATTCTTATCCATTCCATTATTCTCTGACTTTTGCATTCCTGTTTTGCTTTTTAAAAGGGAAAAGATAGAGTACTTCTAAAGTATTTTGCCCACCAACATTTACCCATGGCAGGAAGAGGCCCAAGAAACTTTAATTTTCTGTCATGTTTGGTTGGTTATCACCAACCAATACATGAGAGAATCTAAATTCTGTATCTAAATGTAAATGCTGCATCAGCGTTTGAGCAAATTTTTGACATCAAGCAGACAAAAAGCCATGGCAGCTTTGCCATGAGTGCTAGCAGAGACGTATTTGCAATATCCAATTATTTCTTTAAAATCACAAAAATAGCACCACGTTGTGAGTGCCACCCTTTTTAAAAAAAGTTTTTTCAAAAGGAGCAGAGTTTGCCTTAGGATAGTGTCATATTTTCGTTAGTTACTTCCTCTTGGTCACCTCTGAAAATATCTGTGGGTACAATCTCTCTACTTCATTGATCCTTTATTTATTAGATTTTTATCCCACCTTTATTACTACATATGTGACTCAGAGATGCAGATAAACATAATACCGCCAACTCTGCCAATTTTCCCCACAATGGCTTTGTGAGGTGAATTGAGCTAAGAGAGAGGGATTGGCCCACATTCAGTCTATGGCTAAGGGAGGATAGAATTGGTTTCTAGGCCAGCACTTTAACCTCTCTAGTAACGTTTCAGATCTGATCTCTTCCTCAGAGATATGGATCAACGTGAATAATAGCTGAGAGCTGATGGCTGGAAGCATGAAGCAGGAGACCTCTTTCCCTACTGCTTTGTGACACAATATGCCTGGGACTGTCAGCTGTTGTCTGAGCTGTTTGTCAACATGGGTGTAGGACACTTTTGAAAGATCATAAGATTAAAATCATATCCAAAAGAATCCAGAGGAATAGCTCTGTTCCACACAAGTATTTTCTCAAAGAGAACCCAATAATCAGCTGATGTTAGACTTCTTTTGACATAGCTTTAGTAGTACTGCAGAATGTAGCCATTTGAGGATTGCATTAAGGCTTTCTCCAAATGAGTCCAACTATTAGTGGGAGAGGAGAGGAGAGGAGAGGAGAGGAGAGGAGAGGAGAGAAGAGAAGAGAAGAGAAGAGAAGAGAAGAGAAGAGAAGAGAAGAGAAGAGAAGAGAAGAGAAGAGAAGAGAAGAGAAGAGAAGAGAAGAGAAATTAGGGAAAACTAATAGTCCTTAATGTCCACATACTATAAGGACATCACCCTTGGTTGGCATTGAGCCTAAGCAAGGTAAGGATTCCCAGTGGAGGAGCTCTTTGATTTGGACACCCTGAATTATTCCTGTGATTAAGTATGTTACAAAGAAAAATATACATTTTTTTTGCACTCCCATTTGCTGCAACATTATGAAGCAGCACATCATTTGTAAATGGCTCTATCTGATTCATTTTGCAGAGATTCTTCTTTGCCCCAATGAGCTGCAAATCTGTAACAGCTCACAATCTCTTAATATTGAAGCTTTGGTAAAATCTGATCCTAAAGCCTAAACATACAAGTGTAGAAGTTCTTTTGTTTCCCACAGTTTGATCATCTTAATCCAATCCATTCTCTTAGCAATTAGAAAATGGAAGACAAAATGCTGGGTTAAGCTGTATAATCTTACTAATTCTCCACAGGTGATGGATAAACAAAACTTCTGAGACAATCTTATCAAGTGCAGAGTATGTATGATGTCACTTCTCCACCCAAAAGCAATATCTAAGAAAGGTGAAGATCTCCTCTGCAACATTTTATTGCACTGTGGCTCATACAGGTTTTTTTTTTCCTCTAGACTAGAGTAACATTAGAGATAATATCAAAACACAACATAAATATGGAGGGGGGGAAATTGAGGTTCAGTCATAAAATCATAGATTAGAAGGGATTCTGAAGACCAAATAATCCAACTTTTTACCCTGTTTTAGAATTTACTACTACAGCAACCACATGCATATCAATGCCATGAATGTTTTAGTGATGGGATTAAATTGAAGATTGAGATGCTAAACTAGGACTAGTGCAAAAGAAGAAGGCTAGAGTCAGATTCAAGAGATCAGATGACTTGATTTAGCAGATGGAGTACTACATGACTAAACGTTTGCTTGAACACGGCTAAAAAAATAGATAATTTTTGGATATAAATGGGTCCTATAGTAAGAGGAAGGTGATTTATAAGTAGTACTGTATAGCATTTTTTTCTTTTGTGAGATGAGAAATTTAAAAATACTGGGATGGCTTATGTGAACAAAATGTCTGGACATTTAAATGTAATTAATTTTAAGAAAATTGTAATTGACAAGAATGTTTTGAACATTGAGGGGAAACTAAGCTTAAATAAGAACTTCAAAAACAAGGCCTATAGTCATTTAATAAAATAACTCTTTGCAAATACAACTGAAACATAAGCTGATTAGAAAAGATGTTATATGGTAAGGTTGATATTGTTTGCATAAACACTAGAAAATGTTTTCATTCAACTTTGTATGTATCAAAAATACTAAGAATTGTACTTACTCCATGTTGGCAAAAGGAAAATATTATTAGAAGAAGAGAAGATCAAGGAAATGTATTACTAGCTAGTAGGTTGATTATGGAATCATATAAATTAACTATTATTGATTGCTGTTAAACATATGAACCCAGACAACACATTGTTTATCAAACACTAAAGACTGATATTGTAAAAAATTAATAAAATATATATTTTTTAAAAAAGAAAGTGCTCAAGAGGGGCATTACCATCACCCAGAGGATTATTGGCTGCTCTCTCCTCCCCCTCCCCTGGACAAACTGTACAGTTCCTGTTGTCTTAGGAAAGCTCAAAATATTCTTAAAGACTCATCCTGGACATTCTTTTTTTGAACTATTACCATCTGGCAGACGGTACAGTATAATAAAAACAAAGAAAAATAGGCTGAAAAATAGTTTTTATCCCAGAGATATATAACCATATTAAATACCACTGTATACTGCAAGATTGAAGTGCAATATTAGGGGAAGCATAGTGGTGAATAGAATGTGAGGGATGTGTGTATATAATATATGTTCTTATTTGTGGTTTTTAGTTGTGTGTAATGTGCACGGTGGACAGCACTTAATTTCGTTGTGCGTTACACAATGACAATAAAGATATTCTATTCTGTTCTGTTCTGTTCTATTCTATTCTATTCTATTCTGTTCTGTTCTATTCTATTCTCAATTCCCCACTTAACTACAGAGTTTACAGAGTGAATATGAGCCAATTACTCTCAGATCCCTTTTCCTCACAGTGTTGTTGTGGGAAAAAATGAGGAGAAAACCCCATGTAAGAGAGCTAGAGTCATCTGAGGAAAAGCAGGTCATACATGCAACAAAAGATGAATTCTGAAGCAGAGCTCACGTAATTGGGGACATTATGCAATGTCAAAAATCTTGGCCATCTGTGATGTCCAATGAAGAAACGGATGATACTCTGAGTCAGAGGATGGATTCTTCCTCAGACAAGGCAAGTAAAAAAGGAGAAATTATAATCATAAGAATACCAAACAATCCAGAAAAACAACCTGATATTCTAAAGAAAAAGCCAAGATAAGCACAAGCACTAATATACAGCATTCACTCATTTTTTAAGTTAAGCCAAACCACTTGCTCAGCTTAATGAGGAATTAAAGCCTTAGTTCCTTGATCTTCAACATTTGTGACTTACCTGGTGGATCACAGCTCCGGGATTTTAACTAAAGAGGCCTCTTTGTGTGAACCAGACTTGCAGGTTTACACTTCTCAAAGTGAGGCACAACAGGGGAACAAAGTGATCATAAAGAACAAACAGATGATGAAGACTAGAATGGGGCAGAGAAACCACAGTTGTTATTTAGATTTTCTAATTGTGGAAAGAGGGATGTATCCATAAGTAGGCATTTACTTTTTTCCCACTGAAATTGGTTTTCTATCTTTGATTGTTGTATATAACTTTGTTCAAGATCTATATATGTTTTCCTGTTCTTTTTATAAAGGGAAATTGGAATCTTGGACTTTTGAGGAATAAACAGAATGATTTATTTATAAACTTTATATTCCACATTTTCATTGCTCTGTAAAAGAAAAAGAACAAAGTAATCCCATATTGGGATGGTTGTCTAGAGAGGAGGATGTTGATGATGTTATCCATTCAGGCGAGTCTGACTCTTGGGGATCCTACAGGCCAGGTCTCTCCACATCTGACTATCTTGCACTGCTTCTTTGAGTTTCTCTAAGCTCTGGCTGATGTCCGCTTTGAAGGGGTCCAGCCATTGTGTTCTTTGGCCACTCTATTTATTTTCCTCGTATCATGTTCTGAATAATATATCCAATATATCTCTGTACAATTGCTTACCCAGCAACTGGGTTTCCTCTTGCCCTATCATTGGGCACCTTATACTGTTTGAGATATTTACCATAGAATTTTCTTGATGAGTATTTTGTGGAGTAGGTTGCCTGGAGCTCACTTTATGACAGCTGCCAGGAACAGCAACTGCCTTGCCCAACTTTGCCACAAAACCATCTTCTGGAAGCCACAAAAGATTTCAAAATAGAGCAATTTTGAAGATTATTCCGTGCGTATTTGCAAGAGATCAGAGCAAAAATCTTCTAACCAGAGAAGATGTGTGGTTAAATAATTTACCTAACTCCAGGAAGTTTCAGAGAGTATATAAGCATTGCCTCTTCACCTGAGAAGATCACTCAGAGAGAGTGGGACAAAAACTGCATCGCAAAGAAAGGTAAGTCAGAATATATTTGTTTTACTGCTACCTCCACTATTATTTGGCAAACAGGTTTACTGATATGAAGAGCTGCAAAAATATTAGCTTGTGAATTTTGATCGCTTTGAGATACTTAACTTTTTCACTGAAATCAATTTACTTATAGCTATTTGCACCACAATTTTTTATATTGCACTGCTTCTTCTAATATTTTGGTCCTCTTGTATAAGAAACACATTATTCATTTTAAGGTGATCAAATAGTCAGCCACGGTTTTAGAAGAGCAAAAGCTCCATGTATGGGAAGAATTTACTCCTTCACATTTACATTCCAAGTTCATAATGTCAGACATGTCATCTGAGGAAAGTAGTGCTTATTTCTATTTCTATTTTAACTCTTCTTTTTACCATGATGAGTAAAGAGGAGCATTAAATTGTTTACATAAAATAGCAATACTTTTTTCTATTACTAGCTTATTTCCAATGCTTGTGGGTATTAAGGAATCGATCGCTGAGCCACGCATGCTCTTCTCTGTCTGTTAGAAAGTCAGTTGTTTTCTTATGAAGTAAGAGGGTCTATATTCTGAATGCAGCCACTGAGAGGGTTTTGCCCAAAAGCTTTGGAAGGGTGTAATCTCAAAACTGTAAAGGATCCACATTGGTCAAGATCATTAATGTTTCCAGTGTCTCTTTCTCCTAAATATAAATCAGGAGATTCAGTTCGGACTCTGATACAGCCAATGGGAGGGATGAATGTTTACATTTGCTTTTAAAATAATTAGCATGTTTTCCAGAGAACACCGAAGATTTTTTTTATCATTGATATTTATTAGAAATTAACACATGATTATATCAGTTCTTAAACACAATTAGGTAGAGCCATGAGATCTGGGAAGCAAAATTCCAGATGTCCATCTCACAGTAGGAGAGAGTTTGAATAGTCATTTGGAGACCAACATTTTTTTCTTGAGCAGCGTGAATTAACTTGGCATTCAGGTAACTGTTAATAACTAATAAATAATTCCTCTTACAGGTTTATCCAACAAAATGAAGGTTGTGGTTGTTCTTGCTTGTCTTTTGGGCATCATTGCTCCTTTTGAGGTACTCTACCCATACTACTTATTGTGATTGTATGTCAGAAGTAGGTAGCATTCATTTACTGCTTGAAAAAAAATAACTGCAAAGTTTTGGAGAGTCAGGAGGTCATGTGCTGCTAATGGAATGGGTTGGGTAGAACATTCATTTTCTCAAGATTCTTGTTTGAAGGTTCAGTGAGGGAAGTCAGCATGATGACTCCACACTGCAAATAGAGGCTGGAATGGAGGAATCCAAGAGACAGAGGGAAAGAGAAGAAATGTTCAGTCCATATAGGGAGTTCATAGCCTGCAGAGACTTCAACCAGATCCTCCTGCTCATTACCATGGAGCAGTGTTTCCCAACTTTGACAACTTTAAGATGTGTATGGCATGCCTTGCTAAGGAATTCTAGGAGTTGAAATCCACAAATAGTACAATTGCCAGGGTGGGATAAGACTGATATATATAGCAGAAGTTTCAAAGTAAAAAAAAAAAAATCCAAAGGTGGATTTGGGTCAATGTCACTAAGTTTTGGAGGGCAACAGCCTCCAACGGGAGGTCAGCTTCTACAATCCCATGAACTACTAAACCAACTTAAAACTGGGGACCCGATTTTTCATATGGACTTCCGGATAAATGACTAAAGGCAATGAAAACTCTTGCTTGGTGCTCTTGTGATGGGCTGCAATCTTTGCTGATGGCTGGCTTGTTTCGCTTTGGGGAATCAGTTCTGTAAATAATACTGGTTTTGGACTGATTTCATAAAAAAACAGTTGTCACAAAAAAATGGAATTTAATAAAATCATTTTATTTACAACTTGTAATCTCTTTTTTTCTCTCATTTTACTCTAATTTTTTCCTCATTTTTCTCCTTCTCTTCCAGGCCCTCCAAACAGAAATTGAAATTAGTGAACCACGGCCATACCCATTTCATCCATCACCTCCAAGCTACCCAACTCAGGGAGATCCACCTCAAAACCCACCTTTAAATCCCGGATTTCACTGTCCAAAGGAGATAGTTGACCCTCTAGTAAAGGCTTTAATAGAACTAGCATGTAATGGTCCTGCTGGGCCTCCTGGACCCCCAGGGCCTCCAGGACCACCCGGACCCCCAGGACCTCCAGGGCCTCTAGGGCCTGAGGTGTCCATAGATTTTGACCATCACCCTTGGCCCATTGATCCTGAGAGCTTCCCATGGCTCATGAGTCCTGAGACCATCCCACCACCTATGAGTCCTGAAGGCCCTATGGAGCCCATGAGTCCTGAAAGCCACCCCCAAGGCATGTCGCCTCCTGTGGAAAACATGTAGACTGGAGGCAAAAACCTGTTTTGTTGATTGGTAAGTCCTGTTGAGACATTTCACATGAGAAGAATATGCTTGTGGGCTACTCATACTACTATTCCAAGATGACCGATTTTATCCTTCCAGAAGAACAAAAAAGCTATTTTTGTGGGGGAGGGGGCTGTGGGATGGATAGACCTAACTTATGAAATAGGCAGGCAAGCCTAGTCTAGTCATAAAGTTCTGAAATAATGCCTGATAATCTTTTTTTTTTTTTTTTTGTAGATTTTGTTGAAATGCAAGATACTTAGAAGATATCTTTTTCTTTCTGGAACAGCTGATGAATGCCCCTGATTTAGACTGACTTTTTGAAGGTTTGCAATGTATTCCTTTAAATAAATTTGACCAGCAATATATTTCTTCTTCTATATTTTTATTTATTTGTGCAAATGTCAATGAGGATTTGTTTGTTTACAAATCATGTGGGAAACAATTGCCAAAGACTGGCCTTTGGAGCTGGGTGGAATGGACAATTGGCCACAGTCACCTTTCCCTGCCTGCTTTACCCCAGCCCTCCTGCCCCCACCAACCCTCCGTAGGTGTTCATTCCTGGCTGCCCCTCCTCCATCTCTCTTCCCCCACCACGCCTCAACTTCCATGTCATTCCCAAGAGATTGGCTGTGAGACAAATCATTGCAGCCAATTCACCATTTGGGACAATTAGCTGCGTGTCCCAGTAGGCAATGTGCATGCCGAAGAGAGGGCCTCTAGTTTCCCATATGAAGCAGCATGCAGAGGAGGTGCTGAATGGGGTGAGCAGAGGCCTCCTCACTGGGCTTTTTCAAAAGGCTGTGTGCTAGGAGGTGAGGGACATGGCAATTGCTGTGGAGGGAAACTAGGCTGCTCTCCCCCCCCCATCAAGTAGGCCTTCCTAGGGACAGCACAGCACTCTGCCACCCTGAAAAGTGAGGGCAATGGGCTCCACCCTGCCTCACCATGCCCACCACCTGCCCACTGTCACGTCATCCCCTTGGACACGGAGGGGAGAGTCTGCCCTGTGCAGTGATTTGTTCAACTGCTACCTTGGCCAGGACAAGTGGCAGTGCTGTAGTCCAGTACTGAGCAAAGCTCAGTTGCACAGCAGGCCAGCCTGTCAGCCAGCTGGCCTGCTGGCAGCAGAAAGGAAAAGAAAATCCTTTCCCTTGGGCCCCTGCCTGGCATGGAGTGGAAGTGGTAGCATCACTGAGGGGCACAGCTCAGGACTTTGGTCGGACCCCTCCGGCCCGGCCATGTCTCTTTGGATGGCCTGGGGCAGTTGGGTTCCACAGACCCTCTGTGACAGGTCCCCTTCTTGTGCTGACCCAGCTGATTTGAGCTTTACTGAAGCTGGCAAGGCCAATCAGGATGGCTACACATCCCCTTGCGGTGGCCTAGCCAGGCTGAATTCTGCCTAACTGGAAAGGCAAACCATGGTAACTGCAAATAGGCAGTTGGACTACAGCATCTCTCACAGGGAAGCCCCTCAGGTGCCCCTGAGAGACAGCTGGCAGGCAGTGGGTGTGTGTCTTTATCCCTTGAGGCGGCTTCAGCAATGCCTCTGTACTCGCTAACAACAAGAGGGAGGACTGTTTATATCTCTTGTTTCTTCAAATAAGTGACTTTCCAAGGAAGAAGAGAAAAACCTATTAAACAACTCTCTTCCATGGGTGGAGACTTCCTCTGGGCAGGTACAGAGCTCAAGAAAATAAACCATGGTGTGGCCTCTTTGACTGCAAACAGTTTCAAGTAGACCCACTTTGCTCCTCATTCGCCACCTCAGAAACAACGAAAGGATGTGGGGGGAGAGATTTTTTGCGTAGAGCAGGAATCCAGCCTGGGATAAAAGCACAGAAGATTCCAAGCCTCTTGAAACCTGAGGGGACCACCCCATCTGCTGCATCCTGCCAAAACATGGAGCCCTCCACACATGCTGAATTAAAGCCCCCATGGTCCACAGCCAGGATGGGCACTGCAGTCCAGCAGGCCTAGAAGTCTAGGCTAAGCTGCTCTATCTTTTTTGAAGCCCCAGGAAAATTTTCTCCTTCTGTGTGTCAAGCAATAAAAATGGGATCTTTCACCCAGGTGTTGGGTATCATTTCTCAAGGTAGCTTTAGGATTATTCCATAAACCAGACGTGTCAAACTTGCGACGTCATGTGACGTTGCACAACATATCGAGACTGTTTTGCCATTGCCGGCAATGGGGTGGGCGCGGCTTCCATGTGACGTGTCCGGCCCATGGGCCAGCAGTTTGACACTCCTGCCATAAACCATACTTCTAAATATCTTAAGTATGCAGGATGTGTGAACCAGGTCTGCTCTGTCTGCTGCAAAACACGAGAGAGTATTTCCCATTGTTATGTGCTCCTTCATGACCAGACGTAAGTTCACCTGACCAATAACCAGCTAAGACACAGAGAAGGCCTTTTGTTTCATTTATTGCAATAAGCAGGGAGAGAAGCTATCAAAGCTTGGTTCTCTCCAAAGTTCCAACCCAAAATATTCCCTTCTTTATATAACCCTGTCCTGGCTACCACATCCCTCCTCGTTCCCCATTGGCTGAGGTACTATGAGGTTACACTCTTTCCGACCACCTTCTACATATTTCCTGCTACATACTAAATCATATATCACATGTACATTAAAATTAAGAGATAATTTACACAAGGTGTGTCAGTTAATATTCATCAGTTAATTACACATGCTCAGTTCTCTTTTTGAGTTCTGGTCCTCTTTTTATGACTTCTTAGAACAATAGGTTCTTTCCTGTTTTTCAGTTTAATCTGCCTTTCCTGTTATCTCATTCGGCCAGTTTTCCTGTTATCCCATTCAGTTAATTTTCCCGGGCTAGCTATTTCCTCTTGCAACTGCTTTACAGCTTGTGTTCTTCCTTTTCCCACTCTGAAGACCCAAATAATTTTTGCCTATGGATTTATCTTACATCCTCCCTTTATGCTACCCTTTCCTGGTTCCCCATTGTAGTTTCTTTGGCAGGCTTGTTTCTCCACTCAGTTTCCAGTGCACAGCAGATTCAATTTTAATTTTTTATTTCGCCATTACATTTTGAAGACTTTTCATTTACTTTTGTCGCCAGGAAATTTTTTAGTCTTGATTCTATCTTCCACCTTCCTTCTACTCTGGCAGGGAAAATTTTCCAGAAAAAAACTTGATCCTACTTTCCTGTTTCCCGGACCAGAAATTTCTTCATTCACCTTGCTCTGCCTGAAATGGATACAATAATTTTTGGAGTTTGGTTAACAAACCAAAGTGTGCAGACAAGCCCCCCCCCCCCTCCCTGAGATACAGTCATAAAATTTTAACCTCCTGGCAGGAGCCTTTGCACATCAACAGTGATGGACAAGTGATTCGGCATCCAACAAGGCAGGTTCAATGCATCCTTTTGAAATGCCACAGCAGGATTCAATTTCACCTAACAGCAAGTCCAGAAAAATACAGGGTAAGGGGAGGTGGATCATACATGGCCAAACCACAATCATCCATCCCACCAGCTAAGGGCTGTTTATTGCAAGCTGGGGATTTATGGACATGCAAAGGCAGCCTTGATTTTCCAGGACATAGTGCAGGGAGGCTCCGCTTTCCGGCTCAAAATTGAATAAGCACAACAAAAGAGGAAAATGAAATCCTCTCTCCATGTTTTACAGCAGACAGAACAGACCTGGTTCACACATCCTGCATACTTAAGCTGTTTAAAACCATGGTTTATGGAATAATCCTAAAGCTATCTTGAGAAATGATGCCCAACACCTGGGTGAAAGATCCCACACATCACTAGGCCAGAGGGGTGGCAGGCAAGCCCTGGGCTGCACCCTCGGTGACTCTGACCCCTCCTCTCTATGCCAGGTGAGTGTGCAGGGGAAGGGACTCTCTCTACCTACCCACCCACCACTCTGCCCAGCACGACACTGGACTGCAGCACTGCCACTGGTCCCGGGCAAGGCAGCAGCTGAGCGAATATGCTCTGCAGGGCAGACAATCTCCTCCTAGTCCCAGGTGATGGTGTGGCAGTGGGCAGCCAGAGAGCATGGTGAGGCAGGATGAAGCCCACTGCCCTCCATTTTGGGAGTGGCAAGGCACTGCACCACCACCAGGAAGGTGTGCCTGGCAAGGTGGAGTGGCCTGATTGCCATATACAGCAACCGCCATGTCCCTTGCCTCCTGGTGCACAGCATTTTGAAAAAGCTCAATGCTCGAGGTGGCTGCCCACCCCACCAGAATCCTCTCTGCATGCTGCATCCAATGGAAAGGCAGAGGCCTAGTGCTCAGTGTATGGAATGTAAGCGAATTATCCAACATGGCAAATTGGTCATGGCAATTTGTCCCGCAGTCAATTTTCAAGAGTGATATGGAAGAGGAGGAGTGATTAAGATAAATGGCAGGGGAAGAGCAATGGAGGAGGGGCAACCAGGGATGAACACGTGCAAAGGGTCAGCTGGGGTGAGGTGGGGAGGGCTGGGGTGAAGCAAGCAGGGCCAGAGAACTGTGCTCGATTGTCTATTGCGCCCAGCTCCAAAGGCCAGTCTTTGGCAATTGTTTCCCATCTGATTTGTAAACAAACACATCCTCACTGACATTTGCATAAATATAAATAAAAATGTAGAAGAAGAAATGTGAGGCTGGTCAAATTTATTTAAAGGAATGCATTACAAAGCTTTAAAAAGTCAATCTGAATCAGGGTCATTCATTCAGCTGTTCCAGAAAGAAAAAGATATCTTCTAGGTATCTTGCACCTCAACAAAATCTACACACACAAACATACACAAAAAAAGATTATCAGGCATTATTTCAGAACTTTATGACTAGACTGCCTATTTCATAAGTTAGATCCACGCAGGAGTAAAGCCTTGAGAGACAGAGTATCAATAATGCTACAGAGTACCAATTATGTTCTTTGGTTCTTAGCAGCCTTTCTAACTTACACTTACTCCCCATTCTCCATGGGTTCAACATGGCTGGAGGACATTGTATGGA